GGTGGGCAGAGTCGGGGACACGGGAAAGTTGGTGGGGTTCTGGGGTAGGGGGGAGGTGGCCTTGTTTTGTGTGTGTCTGGGGGGAGGGGAGAGAGGGGAAAAGGAGAAAAGGGGGACCGGGAGCGAGGAGAGGCCTGGTGGTGGGGAAGGAGGGAGAGGGGCCGGGAGCGGGGGCTGTGCGGAGTCCGCCCGGCCACGCTGCAGCCCCCGCCTGGGCTGCCGGACCTCCTCTGGGCACCGCGGAGCCCCGGCCGGGCTGCTGGGCGGAGGGAACCCCTGCAGCCCCGCGCTGTCGGCGTGGCTGAGGGTCGGTGCGTCCGTCTCCTTCTGCCTGGAGTCCTCAGGGAGGGAGAAAGGTCTGTGCATGTATTTTGGCTTTGGGAGTATTGGAGCCCAAGATGCTTTAAGGTGGGTCTCCTCCCGCGGAGCCCCCACTTTTCTATGAACTTTTAGGGCCCCTCTGACTATTTCTCCAGGCCTTGTTGCAGCTCATCCGTGGCTTCCGTTGGGTATAGGATGATCCCGGGTGAGAGCGCAGTTGGAAAGGGGCTCCGAGGTTATAGGGCGAGCGGTTCGGCCCCGGGAGTCCCCTGGGCTTCAGCCCACAGTGAACCGGGAACGCTGCACTCCCCGGTGTTCGCGACCGGCCGCTGTTTTCGGAGCTTGCAAGTGTGCAGTGGGCACGGACCGGGAAAGTCCTCCTGGTGCGGGAAGGAGCTGGGTCCGGGACCTCAGTATCCCTTGCTGCGTGAGCTCCCCAGGGGACGGCAGGGCAGTTGGGTGACCAGCCGAGCCGAGCCTGGATCCTTGGCTCTGAGAATCGTGTGCATTCGGTGGCTCTGTCACATATGCCGTGACTTTTATTTTGTGACAGTTCACGAGGTTAGACTGGCCGGGAAGATTTCCACGGCTCCTGTCGAACTTAGCAGTGTGGAGGGTGGTGATGCGTCTGATGCTCCTGAGCATTTACCAGCAGAGGAACCGAAGTCCTCCTTGATGCGAGGGGCTCGTAGTAGCTTTGGGTTTTGTCAAAATTCTCACTCGTGTTCATGGTCATTTCTTTTCAGGCATGAGACCTCTTGAGTCAGTGGAGATTTTTAGCTTTAATTAAAAAAAAATCCTAAACTTCTGTTAAACCTCCAAAACAGACTGAAGTTTAGAGAACACGATATAGTAACTAAACGGTCTTGTGATATAAATGAGCCAGGTGTGCCCTCTCTGCGTGAGCATGAGTGACCTTTTTTTCCTTTCCTTTTTTTTTTTTTTTGGAGAAAATTCTTTTCTTTACTCTTCTGCAGGATTATTGTATTTATTTATATTTACTTATACTTATAGCGACTTATATTTAATAATTAGGACCCACTAAGCTATTCCAAACTGTTTCCACATGCAAGCCCCAGAAAGATAACGCTCATTTAATTTTCTTGGCAGTGGATTTAATGTGGTGGTAGGTACCAGAGAGGTTTAATAAATGTGCTTATTTTAGTATAGTATACTCCCTGTTGAAAGGGGGTTTTGTTTTAATAAATGTGTTTATTTTAGTATAGTATATTCTCTGTTGAAAGGGGGTTTTGCCATAGCTGTGAGAAACAATTATATTAGTCATCGCATATGTCTATATTTTAAGACAGAAAGTTAATAATGTTAACAAGTATGGGAGTCTGCTGATAAGTTAAAGGGGACATTTAAATCCATAAGCCAACATGCTTCTGGTTGTCCAATTGTATTTTTTGGAGGGGAAGGGTATGATGTTAATGCCATTTGTTTATTTTAACACCAAGTTTGAGCCTATCATTATTGGAATTAAGAGATGTTGCACTTGAAGTATTATTTTGAAGTATTGGTAGTATTGTAACAAGACCTAAGAATTAGTGGTTTAAATAGCCTCATTTCCACTAGCAAACAAAGTTTCCAGAAGTGGAGTTCTCATTTTAAATGTAGCATAATAATGGTATAAGGTGGTCTTTGAATTTAACAGTACTTGACTGTAAATACATATTATTTGAGCTAAAACTATCTTTTGATGTGAACGATTTTGATTCATAATTTAGATTCTTTTCATTATTTAATAATGTCATTCTCTGTTATAATAGTGATATTAGTTAATTTAGGCT